CACACACACACACACACATCTGAGTGAGTAACAACATTAACATCTCCGCTTACTGTTCATGATGGCTGCCTTGTTGCTCAGCTTCACGTATTCTATGTATTCTTGTTTCATCGGCGAGCCGACCGTATCGTGCCATCCCCTCCAGTAATGCAACAGCTCGTCATAGTCACGCGACGTCGCCATGATGCGTGTGATATCTGCACATGGTACGCCGTGTCATAACGATAGCATATCATGTCATAACGCTAGTATATAATGTTATAGCGGTAGTTTATCATGTTATAGCGGTACATCATGCCATAACGGTAGTATATCATGTCGTAACGCTAGTATATAATGTTATAGCGGTAGTATACCATGTTATAGCGGTACATCATGCCATAACGGTAGTATATCATGTCGTAACGTTAGCATATTATGTCATAACGTTAATCCATCATGCGATTTAATGTTACATCATGTGGTAACGGTTGCTACATCGTTTCATAACGGTAGTTTCGTGATATAATAACGGTAGTACGTCATGTAATAACGGTATAGCTACATGATAACAACGCACGATACCAGCAAACATACAACGAAGTCTCGGCACCACGTGTTCTCCATTGCGGGAAACACTTTCGACATATAATATTTATATTATATATATACATATAATATTGATATCTTATAAATTTATCATCGTATATTAATCTGTAGTTATAATTGATAATTATTTATCCTTTATTAATCACGAGCCATAATCTGTAGATATGTACCAGCGTGTGTGACCCCCCCCCCCTCACCTACGTACCTGCAGGATCTAACAGCAGCTATAATTATAATTATTTATCCTTTATTAATCACGAGCTATAATCTGTAGATATGTATCAGCGTGTATGATCCCCCCCCCACACACACACATACGTACCTGGATCTAGCGGTAGCATGTTGTCGTTACTCCCGTCCGTACACGTCTTGCCATACTTGCACACCTTTCCTGTACTGTAGATGGTGGTCATGTCTGAAACTATAGTGTTCCACTGAAATAGATCATACAGCATGTTATAGTTATAGTTCTCAATAATAATAATAATAATAATAATATAATAATAATAACAAGAAGAAGAAGAATAAAAAGAACAAGAACAAGAAAATAATCACAATACCTATTTTTTATTATGATTGATAGTTACGAAATAATAATAACTAATATTGATAATCAATCAATAATAATTAAAACTGTCTTGAAAAAAGTTGTCACCTTTTACAAACAGTTTCCGCTGTCAGCCAGTCTAAAATTTCGCCACTGCCTTCATCTTTTCTTTCCTTGCCATCCCAGTCCCACAATCCTAACATCTCATCCATTTCCTTCCCTCACACCTACCTCCTCTACTTCCGCATCCGGTAGAGCGGAGATTCCGATATCCTTAATCTTCTTAATCTCTCGATTAATCTGCTCATCTGTGATCTTTAATCCGTTAAAGCTATCGAGCTCCTTGGATTTACGCTTGTCGAATTCCGCCGATTCCAGCGCTGCGACGATCTACAAGAAACGACGGGTGTGACAACAGTTACTGATTCACGTTACTGCTTACTACTTACTATAATTACTGCTTATTATTTACTGCTTATTATTTGCTACTTATTATTTACTGCTTAATATTTACTGCTTGTTATTTATTGCTTACTATTTACTATTTACGGCTTACTGCTAACTATCTACTGCTTATTATTTACTATTTACTACTTGTTATTTACTGCTTATTATTTACTACTTGTTATTTACTGTTTACTATTTCCTACTTATTATTATTATTATTATTATGACGACGACGACAGCACCAAAAACAACAACAACAACCACAAACACAATCACCACCACCACCAAGAAGAAGAACAACAATCACAACCACAACCACCAAGAAGAAGAACAACAATAACAACCACAACCACCAAGAATAAGAACAACAATAAAAAAACAACAAGAACAACCACCAACCACCACCACCACCAAGAAGAAGAAAAAGAACAAAAGACAAGAACAACAAGAACAGCAGCACCCCAGAGGGGGGAACGGGGGGGTACATTCCCACTTTCCCAGCAAAAAACACCCCATATCCAGTTCCCAGTAAAATAAAATCCCAATTCCCAGTTCCCAGGAAATTATTACACATGTTTCAGGAAATTCAGTATTTAGGTTTCAAACACTACACTAAATACTAATATTTACATACTATTATTTATCTGGACATAATTAATAAAAAAAATAAAATAATAGTTAATTTAGCGCAGAAATTGAAATCCCGACGAATTGACACAATTTTCCCAGATCCCAGGTAATTAAAATGGCCAATCCCGCGTCCCGAAAATACCCGTGCCCCCCCCCCTACCTCAGCCTGTGCATTCTCGTCCGTGATGTTGGTGTTGTAGTTCCATGAGGCCACCACAGCGCTGTATCGCACCACCTCCGCCTCTACATTGTAGTTATCTAGCCAGCTCTGCGCCTCGCCATCATCGTCGCACCACCACCCCACCGGCACGTCGTTTTCACTGTTGTACAGCTTCAGCCAGTCCGTCAGCGGCTTGAAATACTCGATCAGGGCCGAGGCGTCCATCTTGTCCTGTCCCGTTAACATTGTCATCGCTTCCGGCCACGGCTTCGAGGAGCCGAGCTGCAGCGCCGCCCTGGTGGCAACGAGTGGAACCAGTGTGGGTTTGCGTCGGGGTAGGGGGGAGGGGGAGGCTTGTATGCGCGTGATATTACGCGTGAGTTGTGCTTCGTAGTGGTTTTACGGCGGTTTCATTCATGAGGTAACTCGTTGTATTGAACTATGACTTTGATCAAGATTACCCCCAGCCCCTTAAATATAGTTGCTAAATGTCGGTCAAGCACACCCCGTTTGTACGCGTGGACGTTAAAACTTTAAGCCCGCAGCACTTCGTTGCTGAGCATTGTTTTTGGAGCGTTCTACGGCGACGCTGACTGGCTGAGAGCTTACATGAGTTTGTCGCCGGCGTCCGTGTTCTCGTAGATGTCACACTTGTCGAGCGCCCCCTCGTGTACGGCGGCGTCACAGAGCGCCTTGTGGAACTGGAACTGTACGATGTAGGAAACAAAGTACCTACAAAACACACGTACACACACGAATATATATATATATATATATGTCTGTATTTATTATGTATGTATATATACATACATACATGTTTATCGCGTATATATAGGCCCTATATATATATATATATATGCGATAAACATGTATGGA